AGACAAAGCACTACATGGCCAATACATTAAAAAAATAGCTGGGAAAGCAGATAATAATAAAACCTGGCAATGGCTAAGAGCAGGAAAATTGAAGAAAGAGACCGAGGGACTAATTCTGGCTGCACAAGACCAAGCCTTAAGGACAAATGCATACAAAGTCAAAATTGAGAAGACAGCAACAGACAGTAAGTGCCGCCTATGCAAAGAAGCTGAAGAAACAGTGGACCACTTGGTAAGCTGTTGCAAGAAGATTGCACAGACTGATTACAAGCAGCGGCATGACAAAGTAGCAACAATGGTGCATTGGAAGATCTGCAAAAAATATCATTTGCCTGTAAGCAAAAACTGGTGGGATCATAAAATAGAGAAAGTCATAGAAAATGATAAAATTAAACTGCTCTGGGACTTCAGAATTCAAACAGACAAGCACCTGCAACATAACACCCCAGACTTAACAATTGTCGATAAGAAAGACAAAAAAGTCTGGATAGTGGACGTGGCAGTGCCTGGAGACAGCAGAATAGAAGAGAAAGAACTGGAGAAGATAACAAAATACAAAGACCTACAAATAGAAATAGAAAGACTGTGGCAAAAGCAAGCAAGGGTAGTACCAATAGTCATAGGCTCCTTGGGTGCAATCCCAAAACAACTGGAGCACCACTTGAACACCATTGGCATTGACAAATTCGCTATTAGTCAATTGCAAAAGGCGGCCTTATTAGGAACTGCTTCCATCCTGCGACGATATCTGTAATACCATCAAACATCCACATCTGCCTATCCCAGGTCCTGGGTAAGGACTCGATAGGTAGACAAAATGCCAAATCCAGTCTGAACATCTGGCTGACTGTGCGATTGATAATAATAATAATAATAATAATAATAATAATAATAATAATAATAATAATAATAATGTTATTATTATTAATATTATTATTAATAATAATATATTAATAATAATAATATTAATAATATTATTAATAATAATAATAACATTATTAATAATATTATTATTATTAACATCTGGCTGACTGTGCGATGATCAATAATAATAATAATAATAATAATAATAATAATAATAATAATAATAAAGTTGGAAGGGACTTTGGAGGTCATCAAGTCCAACCCTCTGCTCAGGCAGGTAACCCTATACCATTTCGGACAAATGGCTGTCCAGTTTCTTCTTAAAAACTTCCAGTGTTGGAGCATTCACTGCTTCTGGAGGCACGTTGTTCCACTGGTTAATTGTTCTAACTGTCAGGAAATTTCTCCTTGGTTCTAGGTTGCTTCTCTCCTTGATTAGTTTCCATCTGTTACTTCTTGTCCTGCCTTCAGGCGCTTTGGAAAATAGCTTGACTCCCTCTTCTCTGTGGCAGCTCCTGAGATATTGGAACATTGCTATCATGTCCCCCCCTCGTCCTTCTCTTCGTTGAACTAGACATACCCAATTCCAGCAACCTTTCCTTATGTTTTAACCTCTAATCATCTTTGTTGCTCTTGTCTGTACTCTTTCTAGAGTCTCAACATCTTTTTTACAGCACGGTGACCAAAACTGGATGCAGTATTCCAAGTGTGGCCTTACCTTGAGTGAAAGCAATCCATAAATAAATGATGGGATCATAGATTGGAGTGCAATTGTGATTGAATACCAGTGTATTACTGCTCGAATCCGCTAAACCGCTATATAGCAAAAGGGGAGGAAGAGCTCAATTTGTCTGAATGGTTTCCATTAGTTGGGGGAGGGGGAGAGAACATTTTTCAGAGTATAATCTTATAGCCACATGCTGGGTATGTAAATACATAGAGGCCTTAATGGAGCATTTAAGTCAAGAGCACAGCTGGTTTCTGCAGATGCAACTGATTGTTGGATTGAATTGGCCTAACATGGAGGGGTAAATTTAAGGCAGTTGTATGGGTGTACATAGGAAGGGTTTGGTTCACAAGACTTCCGATTTTGTGCGGTAGCGACCGGTTGCAGGCTTGCACGGCTAATTTCAGCCTGCCTAGGGACCCTAAAGGGGTCTAAGTCGCCCCAGAGAGGCGACAAAGAAAGAAGGGTGCTTCAGCGATTCTAGAACGGTGGTGGCCATTCCGTTCAACTTGGGGAAAGCTTCTAACCAGACAGGAGAAAGGCTGGCTGTATTGCATGGACCAGCCCAAGCTACTAACAACCTAATTCCAAAAGCACTAACCAGCACAACTGTGAACAGCGTGCTTGAAACTGGATGAGGAATTCGATCTTCTGTTTTCTATTCTACATTTAATTTCTTGGAAAAAAATCCCCAAGAAGCAAAATACCTCTGAAAGGGAAGGAGGGGGATTTCTGCCCCACCCTTATACTAACGGAAGCAGCAAATTAATGTTTTTATGGGGGATCAAAATATATGAAATTGAAAAACAAATAGTTGCTGACACCTAGTGGTGGATGAAGACTATGACAGCTATGACTTTAATATAAGACTTGGCAAAACCTGGGAAAAGCTAATCTGTTTTCCACTTTATCTCCAGGAATCAACTCCAAGGCCAATTGCTTATCAAATGAGTAGACTAATATACATATTAGGGTTACCAATAATAGAGGCCCAAGCCATGCTACCAAATTGGTCTGATAAAGCACTGCATTTCTAATTTGGCAAGTGAATATTTTAAGGACATTTCTGTAGGTGCAAGAAATCAGGAACCAGGGTTGTTCAAATGAGTTCAAGTTTATTCCATGCTATCTCTCTCTGACTACCAATGGTCAAGGCAAATTGATAGTAGATAAGAGTCAACAGAATTCAAGGAGGGCTGGACTTAGATCTCTTGGGGGCATGAAGGATTTCCAAAGTGATGATGTGTTTGACCCTTCCCTTGTGCTTAACCTGGTCCTCTCCTACAGTTTATTTGTTCCCCAATATAATGCTTCTGAACACAGTCTTTGTTATTTTTCATAGAGAAAAGGGTTGATGAATTTTTCTATATCTCTAATTTGGTTATTCATAAAAAAAACTTGAGATAGTCCAGAAGTGAAACTAAACCTAGTGTTTCTATACTCTTCCATGTTAAGTGTATACATTATTGCGGATTTATTTACAAATCTCATTTACACATAAATCCAGCAGCAACCTAGAGAAGATGATCATAGAAAAAACCAAGAATATACCATAGATACATCTGTGAAGTTGAGCTCATCAAATTTTGAGGAGGTGGAGATACTCTTAACAACATATTAGATGTACTCACAGATAACTACATACACACATCCCATACAAAGAGGATACAGTACTCTTGTTCACACCCAAGGTGTTCTTTACTTTTTGTATTGTCTTTCTTCTTGGCAAGGAAATATTCTTAGCCTGGATTTACTATTTTGCAAGAATATTTCTGGAATCTACGTGGATTCAAAAGTTCTAGGAAATAAATACAATGTATAAGACCCTTTGTAGCATGTTAGCTTTCTTTAACATTTTAAAAAATGTTACATAAACTTAAAAAAAAAGAAGTGCGACAATGAAACTGGCTTGCATCAAGAGCAAAGCCTATGGACACATTGGCACCCTAGGCATCAGATTCCAAGAAGTAAACCAATTAATTGAATTCATCTAGAATGCCAAACAGCTTTTCATCTCTTGTAGCAAAACCAGCAGTATTACTTATCTGTAAGTTTTACCTGTGCTGACTTTGAATTTTTCCACATGCAAGGTCTTGGCTGATTTGAGATCTATGATATATTCTTATGTATTTGCACTCTGTGGGACTTCCAAATGTTTTTGCAAACTAAACTGATTAACATTTGGCTCAAGTACGCCAAATAAAATGCTGTGAAGAGACTTTTGCACATTTGCTTCGGGAGCTGTGGCAGGATCATCCACCATTCAATTCATGAAGCTAAGATAACCTGGGAACCTTAAGGTTTACTGGATAGATTTTTCTCCATTTTCTCCTGCCTATTCTGAGTAGGACTTTGCCATTCTCCTGTATATAGGATGGGGCATTTCCATTCCCATCATGAAAGATGAATAGGCAAGAAAGGGGGAAGAATAAAGAGCCAGTTGGCTGCTGTTTTTCATGCTTTCCCATTGGCCAACAAAAAGGAATACTGTTTGGCCCAATGGGAGGAAAAGAACAGAGGAGAACTGCACTGAGAACACCATGTAGACCTGCAAAATGTATTTACATTTCCTATTTCTAAACCATCCATTTCCCCCCGAGAGGGAATATAATATAATAGATATATAAACAACATATAAAATTAACATTAAAATATTAACATTAAGATTTTTTTAAATTAAAAATGATAATGTAATATTTGAAAAGTGTAAAAAAAATCCAAGATAGGCATTTAGCATTAGTTAATACAGGACCCAATCTAGGTCGGTCAGTGTTTAGTCCTCCAAGCTTTTGAACTCATGCTTGAGCCTATCCTCAGGGAGCTTCTGTCTAGCAGAATGTTAATACAGCTGTGTGGGGGGGGTTCTCATGGGGCCAGTCAGCCCCATGGTTGTGTGGTTCTCTGTGCCCTGCCCCCAAGCCACAAAGCCAGGTTTTGACCCCTTTTCAGAAGGCCAGCCTCTGGGGGCAGGATGTTCCATAATAATGCAGGGGCAGCGGCAGAGAAGGCTCTCTTCCTGGATCCACCCAGCTGAAATTTTTTGACTGAAAAGAGTCTGTAGCATACCTTCCCTGCCTGATCAAGTGCAACAGGTTGATGTGATAGGACAAAGCGGGCTTTATAGGTGAATTGGACCCAAGGGTCAAACTGACACCCAGTGCAATTCATGAAGCAAGGGTGTTATATGTACCCTTTGTTGGGCACCCAACATGACTTGTGCAGCTGCAGTCTGCACCAACTGAATCTTCCGGACACTTTTCAAGGGTAGTCCCATGTAGAGTGCATTGCAATAATCCAATACTATGGGGAAAATAAGGGTGAAGCTGGTGCCTGTGTGGAGTCCCTTTGCATGGAGCCTCAATTCCTTCAGAATGAAACATATTATGAAAAAAAACACTTGATTTGATTGTTTATATATTGACAAAGTTGAATTTTATTGACACTGTTATCACAAATTACAAAATGAAATCCAGTCTTTCAATATGTAGGTATTGCATTCTAGTCACATATTTTTAAACACAATTTCCATTGTTAAGAAAAAGTGATTTTTTAAAAAAATATATTACAATCCTTACATAAATGTACAGTAGATGGATCTAAACTTAGTTACATTTCGATGTGTGGGATTTATTAGTCATGACTGAATCCTACTGGTCTCAATGAATCTTTTAAAACATGGTTCAACAGACCCTGCAACAGAGTCCAACAGATTCTTGGACTGCATAACTTCTGGCGTCCTTTCCAACTCTATGGTTCTACAATCAAACTTGTTTGCAATCCAATAGTTTAGATTCATCATATACCTCTGCTAATTGTATGGCATGTATTCCTTTTATTCTCCAAAATGAATGCATCTGTTTTTTTCAATTCAGTGCTTAGAATTTTTCCATCACCAGCAGGGTTCAATAGCAGCACCAACACTCAATCATCACCAGAGATAATTGTCAAAAGAGTGGCCATATTTAAAACTAACAGAGTATTAGCTGTATAAAAGTTAGTTTCTCTTATTTTATAGTACTTGATTTCATAATAAAATTTATATTATTTAATATATTTTAGCTTATCAATATTATTATTACATTATAACACTAAATATATTACAGGTAGTCATGGATTAACAATGGTAACCAGAATTTCCATTGCTAACTAATGAGGTTGTAAAGAGCGATGCCATGTGACCACATCACTCCTCATTGGGTGTTGTTAAGCGGGGAAGAAGAATCATTAAGCAAGTCCCAGACAGTTCTCAAGCAGACAGAGAGGGCGTATGCTGTGAACATGGCAGGGCCAGGGGGTAGCTGCTGCCCAGTGTGGGAGGACGTGAGCAACTTACCAGAGGAACTTGTAACCTATTTGTTGGCTTCCTCATTGATTTTGCTTTTGGGAAGCTGGCAGGGAAGGTTTCAAATGGCGATCCCATGACTGCAAGATACTGCAACCATTTAAATGTGAGCCAGTTGGCAACCACTCAGATTGCAATCACACGACTATAGGGGTGTTGGGACAACCAGAACTTGAAGGACTGGTTAAAAGTACCATTTGTTCAGCACCACTGTAACTTCAAACAGTTGTTAAATGAATGTTTGTTACACAAGGACTACTTATAATGTGAATACATTTGCTTTTACTTCTGTTTCGTCATTTGGCCATAATATGATCTGTCTTTACAGAACAGTCTAGATTTTTTGGCAATTTAAAAATATCAGTTAATTGTGCCGACAATATCAGAAATAAACCCCATATAGAATTGTAGCTGCTTATATTGTCAAATATAACATACAGGCATTTTCATAACAATTACAAATTGGACAGTTAAGTCAAATACGCTAGTACTAAAATTATATTTCTGTAATAAAATGATACTTAAAATACAAGGTGAGATTTTAACAGAATAAATTTACGTTCAGTTTCACATTGTCAATAAAAATATATTATACTGGCTTATCAACAACGGGCCCATTTAGATGCCATTTAAAAGTAAAGCCTGCTAGTTTTTTTTTATTTACAAGTGGTCTAGATATATAAAATTGATTAAGAATAACAGAGGAAGACAGGAGTTTCAGATAAAGGACATAGTTTAAATTCTATAAGATGTAATGAAAAACATTTATTAAATATTTCTAAAATTAAGATTGCAATATGCTGAGAAAAATGGAATGAATTGGCAAAGACAAGAAAAGCAAAAGCGCAACATGTTCACTGTTAATTCTGAAAACATAGGTCGTCAAAATTCCTTGACTCAGTAAAACTATAAAAGATCCCATATACTGAATTCTTATTTCATGGTAAACATGGCACAAATATTATTGTATATAAAAGTATATAAAAGTATACAAAGGATCTCTCCCACTATAGTCCAACACAAAGGTATCCCAGCTTTAATGAAAATTAGCATTCTTATGCAGACTGATTTATTTCCTTCTTGTTATGACTTCCGACTGTCATAGTCACTGACCATCCTTTTGATATGAGAGAGTTTACTCTTCAGCATCTTGCAGTGTGCTTTTCGGTTCTTATAATCTACGGACTAAGGACAATATGCAAAGCAGTATTAATGGCAAACTTATAAAATTTAATGATAAGAATACAGTGCTACATTAATGTAACCAATACTCCTGTTTTATTCCATAAAAATAATCACAACAGATGGCAAGAGCTAGCCAATTTTAGCTGATTTTAAAAAAAGCTAACCAAGGTGGGACTTGATTAAGAAATCATCAGGACATCCCAGGGCTACTGGGAAGTCAAAAAACACCCCAAGTACACAATGAAAAATTACTCTTATTTTGTTGTCAGAAAACAACAATATTTATGTGTCCATGAAATCACCAGGAATGAAGTTTGACATGAAAAAGACCATTTTTTTCATGACAGTAATGAATAGTAATAAAATTAAATTGTCCTATATTTCAAAATTAAGAAATTATAGGTCCCACAGCCATAATAGCATAAAAGGTACTTAAAAGACAATGTGCTGAACAAACTAAAACTGTTTAGTTTGTCTTTCTACTTGGTTTCTTCACAATGCAGAGAAACCTGAAAGCAACGTTTGCTATGAATTATTGAAGCAGCTGGGTCTATTTCTAGAACTGGGCGATCCTCTCTTCAGTTGTTTTAATAAGTGCTATTTGTGTTCTTGAGCATTGTGAAACACTCTTCCAAACTGAATCCAAAGCATTGTACAGCCTTAAAACAAAATATATCTACCTAAGCTCTGTTCTTACAAAACTTGTGAGTTAATTTGCATCATCCAAGAAGAGACATTACAATTTTTAGAATCTTACAGTCTTACATATTGCAACCTGATAAGTAATTCCCACTTGTTTTTATGGAATTGTTTAAGTAAATAGATCCAGAATTTCAGTTTAAAAATCAAATTAAGCAGCGATATTAAATAAAGCACAGTTCTCTTTTATAAATGGGATAGCATTCCATCACAATGGACCAAATATCTCTCTGGGACGTTATAAATCAACAGTGGGATGAAGCCAGGCCAGGTTCTATTAGATTTAGAGTAACAACAAATTGACTCATTTAAATCATATTATTGAAATAAGTAAGAGTTAGGGTAACCAGGATTGAATTTGTGTTTGGAATACTGCCACCTAGTTCTGATAATTTCTCAGCCTTTAATTCTATTTTATGTCTCGGAAATTTGGCTAACAGATTTTATAAACCTGAAATCTGCTTACTACTATTAGAAATCGGTATGAACTTTCTTGTGTCTAACTTGTGTTTTCTCAGCCAGGCCAGGCATTAAGAACTCTCAACATTTATTAGGGACAGAGGTAAGCAAAAAAAAGAAAAGAAAAAAAAAGAATTATTTGTTTACTGTAGTTCTGATATCAGAAACTGAGAAGATGAAGCTATGCTGTTATTTTCAAGAAAGACTATACTATTAACTGTTGTACTGAATACGGAGCTCATTTTACATTCAGCATTATATAGAGGCAAAGATGAGCCCTTATTAATTTTATAAGTTGGTCCATATACTGATCCTATATTTATATTATTTATTAGAATTAATACTATCACTCGCATTAGTTACATCACTTGAACCTTTGAATTTATTTCCTGTCTTCTGTTTCTGTTGATACAAGACCTATCACAATTTCTTTAACTATGGCAGCTTTTTCTGTACATTTAAATCATCTACCTTAGGTATCTCATCCATGAACCATAAAGCCTTTGATGGTTTTTACAACCACCATCCCCCCCTTAAGGGTGCAGATAACAATGCCCTTCTAGCTTTCCCTATCTGAGATGGATTGAGGGTCAATTCTTAAAATAACAAGAAATAGCAATTAGCATGACAATTGTATTATTGTTAAGCAAAGTGCCATAGGAATAAGAATATTCTGTCCCCCAATAGGAGGACACTCAGCATCCCTAAGGCAACCTATCTGCATTTCCTACAAACTCTTTTATGAGAAGATCAAACTGTTCTCGTGTCTTTCTCTCTGAAACCTATATATGCACTCTTAGATTTTGAATCATTGTGATTAATATAAATTTGCCTAGTATATACCTCTTTCTTCACTTTGACTTATTTAAGGTTTGGTGTCATAAAATCCTAGTAGACAAGAGAATTGGCCCTGGGGAAAGTGCCTCTGCCTTCTTTGGCAGGTCCAAAGTGTTTCCACAAGATGATCCTATCTACCTGGAGTGTTTGGGAAATAGGAAGCCGCTATTAAAGAAGGAACTATGATGAGGAGCTCACATAGCAGCCTGGAGATGAAGAATGAGTAAGGAAATAAACTAAACAATTTGAAATGTAAATGAGGATTCAACAATGAACATTTAAAATTATTTCTTAAACTGAGTCTTGCCACCACCGTTCTTAAAACCACTTACTGATTTGATATCCTTCAATCTGTTGAATTCATCAGCTGCAGCCTATGAAAAAAAAAGACCCAGTGTCAAATTAGAAACCATATAGTAGTTCATTATTTCCCAATCCTTTTCCTTCATTATGCAAACTGCTTATCAAACAATCCTGTTTATCACTAATAAGAAAATCCTTCTTTAAATGTATTGTTTTTGGGTAATGGGTTTGTGTGTCACTACCCAGAGAAACCACTTTTACCTAATTCAGGTTATTTACCTATTGAGCTAAAACCCAATGCAGCTGGCAAATTACTGCTAAATCTTTACATACTTTGAAATATCTGAAATATGTATAGATACGTTAAAACATGCAGAACATAAGCATCTCTTTAAAGCAGTCATGTCTTTTTTTTAAGCTTTCTTGAAAGCCTGAAAGAAAGATTGAGAATATAGCCACCTTAATGAGCTAATCATAAAAACAGGGGCATCTTGATCCCTCAAGATTATGGTATTGTCTTCAGAAAATGAAGTACAAAGTAAATTATGTAATTCCATATCATCATTTCATCTATTGCAGCACTAGAGATGAAGTCAAGGTTTGGGGCAGTGAAGCTGGCTGAGACTGCTGAAGGCCCTAAGCCACTACCTCAAGCCTAGACCTAGTGCTTCTGCCTACTGCTGTACTGTACCTGAGGCACTCAAGCACTCCACTTAACAACCCATCAATCACCTAACAACCACAACTGCAATGACTTACAACTGAACTTCTGATCTCAACTGTGTTTGTATGGAGAGGAACAATTAAAACTGCACTTGTAAAAAGATATTCTAAAAGGAGTCCAAAGCATTTTTCTTTATAACCATTGTTGAATAGACAGGAAGGATGTCTGATCCCAAAAACAGTGAAAAGAGACTTCAATACTGTTAGACTAGTCTCAGAATATGAAGTTGATCTTTAAGAAGGTTAAGATTTTAATGTGTCAGGAAGGAAGAAGCAATGAATATTGAGACACTAACCTTCTTCATGTGAAAGATAAGCTACTACTTTGTTAACCACCATAACAAATGGATAACCTTGTTGTCTGAATAAGTTTTAAAAGTTTCCTTAAAATGCCATTTCCTCTAAATCAGGGATATAGAGTTTATATGACATGCCGATAGACTCAAATTCTCAGCAGCTTCAATCCATGATTGCTGAGTAGGTGATCAGAGATTGCTACCCATTCCCCTGCTCAAAAAATAAAGGCTTTTAATCATAGGCAGTCTGATTAGTTAGATAAACTCCACTGTTCTATGAAATTCGTAAAAAGAGAAATGCTTGTAGTCTTTTAAAGTATGATCATACTAACTTCTAGGAAACAAAATTACAGTGATTATAAATGCCAATGTGCTTTTCCTTGGGTGCTATTTTTAAATTTTTCCCATTTTAATTCTTCAGTATCCTAAAAAAATATCTGCAAACAAAATAACTTAATAGTCTTTAACCCTATTATTGATTTTGCAAAAGTATATATTGCTTCATGTTTTAGAACATTTCAAAAAACAAAAATAGGAAGCTATGAAGTAATCACAATCATATTCAATGAGGCTGAAGATGATTCACTCGATGAGACAGCTGAAAAAGATTTGGGTAATTACTGCAAATTACTTCAACCTATTTTTTGGACATGACCTGAATAAAAAGCAGTTGCAACATCCTTAACTCTAGGATCAATTCTAGGGCCAACGGTCAATTCTGTAGGACCAACATTAACTAAAAACATAATAATCCCTTTCGTTATATAATTTAAAGTGGCAAATACATGAATTATCTGTTTACATCAGTTTAAATAAAGCTGCTACCTTATATTCTTCACTGCCTTCAATGTAATCATCCAGCTCTTTGTCAAGACGAGAGAGTTCTTTACTGATCTCATCAAGTTCTGCTTGCAGTCGTTTGTATTCTTGTAATTCTGCATCAAAATCTCGCTTGTACGCTTGTCTTTGCTGGTCTGATGATACAGGTGGATACTCTCTAGATGACATGTAATTTAAAATGGATCTTGTAACATGATTTGGGTCCATAATTATGGTCAGATTATACCCCAAACAAACTGATTTGCGTCAGTCAAAACGTATCTTAACAAAAAATATCTGGGATTTTAAATGAAGAAACTTGCATTTAGTTTGTTCCTAGAACATTCTGAATTTGCTCCAAATTCTACCAATTCTTGAAATGTACTTGACAAGCTATATTTTCTGCATCCTTTTTTCAAATGTACTATACACAATGAGTAGTATATTGACCAAACAGCAAAATATAACAACTAATTTGATTTTCTACAGGCAATTCTCATCCTGGCATAGGCATTTGTGGTTGAAAACAATTTTTACAAAATAAAGCAACATTTTATACTCAGATTGCACTCTTTCTTAACCCAACCCAACCTAAGGAACTTTTTTTAAAAATGTTGACATGTGGGCTAATTAATGCTGATGAAATAGTTAAGATCCTTAAGCAAGCTTCTATTTTTATAGTCACATTTTGTATGGGTGATTTTTTAAAAAATGATGTTTGACAGATTATGTCTAGAGTTATTTGTTTCTGATTGTGTTTTATGAGAAAACAGTCTCCCAGTGCATTTCTTTTCATGGTTCTATACTTATCTGCAAATAGTTATATGTTGATATCAAATGACACTAATACAGCAACTACACCTACCTTATCTTTCACTTCTACTGAATCCTAAAACTTTACATTGTTGCACACATGCTTTCATAAAAGGCATGAGCTTCATCTCAGTCACAGATAGGATTAGTATTTTTCTTGGTAACGGAAAGGTATTTCATCCATTTTTTTTTGTCAAAACATTAGCTGTTAATTCCTAATAACTGTGAGACTGAACCCCAATTTTTATTCCTTCCTCTTTCCATATCTCCCAGAGTTGCTGGGCATGAGGCAGCATATACATTTAAATCATCATCATTATCATCACCACCATGATCATCATCATCATCAATACTCTTAGAAATTGCTAGAACTAAGATCTTCTACTGACTATTAGTGCTATGCCAAATAGGTGGAGTTGCCAATACCTGTCCCAGTTCTCATCCAGTTCATCACAAGATTCGCCACCTGTGGTATAATCAGCATCATAATTATCACTGGTGGCTCTTCTTGTTCTTCCTCTTTTCTTTCTATGTGGGGGATCCTTAGCTGACCCATTGTAACTGCTGGTGTTCACATACTGGGACTGTTTTTGGTCTTTTGTCAAGGGAGCAACAACTTCAGGTACCCTGTTAAAATATAAAGATAATTAGTTCTCAAGTTCATACCAAAAACATCAAAAATGCAGAGGGCTTTTGCTATATTATGCAGGAAAAATTCATATAAAAGAACTATGTTACATGGATTTACAGATGGACAACATAACAATTTTTCAGTGACAAATAGTGTAATACTCGTTATATGTATTGTTTATGTTCTGTAGCAGTGATGGCGAACCTTTTAGAGACTGAGTGCCCAAACTGCAACCCAAAATCCACATGCATCGTCGAGTGCTGGGTGGGTGTGGCCAATTGAGTGGGCATGGCTGCAGTGGTAACAGCAGACTGGATGAGACTAAAAAGTTCAATCAATCAATTCCAACTTTGCAAGATCTTTTTTTTCCCCGCAAGAAGTTGAAATTGACTGATTGAACCTTTTTTTTTTTTGCACACGGCAGGGGAGGCCTAAAGTGAAAAGGTTTTATAAAACCCAGCTGAAGGACTAGGACTGGGGCGACGGTACACGTGCCCACAGAGAGGGCTCTGAGTGCCGCTTCTGGCACCCATGCCATAGGTTCGCCACCACTGTTCTATATTCTATTTTGTGGTATAAGCCGGTATCCTTTTCTAAAAGTACAAATAATTAACAAATTATTAGTTGCATATCTAACGATTAGAATTGCAATTATACTTCAGCCAATAGATCTTTAAGTTATTCCCGTAATTACCTAATGATAAAAAGAAAAGCAAAAGAATTGCAAAAGTAATTGCAAAAGCAAAAGTACTGAATTGTGAGTATGAATTATATTTGTATTAGAAATATTTATATTTTAGAACATTGAAACAGAACGAAGAAGCACTTATTATAGGCTTCTACAAAATTAAAACATAATTACTTGGCATTAATGACTGGACAAGTCACTTCCACAATTTGAATGGCTAAATACCGTTGTTGCCCATTACACAATGGTCAGTCTTCAAAGCCTACAGCCTACAATGTTTTTCAAACTTGGCAACTTTAAGATGTACTGTATAAACTTCAACTCCCAGAATTCTGGGAGTTGAAGCCCACCTCATAAAGATGTTAAGTTTGAAAAAACTGGCATACAATGATCACTTTCTGGAGCTAATAAATTGAATAATCGTATATTCCCCCCATTACTACTTCTTTCCCTTTTCTTTGTTGTATTTCTTTGTGAGTTATTTATAAGCTAATGAGCAACAGAACTCTCAGAATAGCCCACATAATTTTTTTGTCAGGTTCAAGAATGAAAAGTAAGTCCTTCTGGGTCTAATGGAAAAAGAACTAGAAAAAAAATTGGAACTCTGATTTTATATATGGTGACAGCAGCAAGATTGCTCTATGCACAAAAGTGGAAGGATGCCTTGATTCCTACCATGGATGAATGGTTACAAAAGCTGATGGAATTAACAGAGATGGCCAAATTGACTGTGCTGATAAAAGAAAAGAATATAAGCACTTTTTATTTATTTATTTTATTTATTTCAGTATTTATATGCCGCCCAATCCCAAAGGACTCAGGGCGGCGTACAAAGTTAAAACAATGATAAAACAATAAAATAAAGCAGTCATACCGCGAGTCCGATCATATCCCGGCCCCCTGGGGACATCAGCCCCAGGCCTGCCGGAACAGGAGGGTTTTAACGGCCTTCTTAAAGGCCGGCAGGGTGGGAGTTGTTCGAACCTCGGGGGGAAGCTGATTCCACCAGGTCGGAGCCACCACAGAAAAGGCCCTTCCCCGAGGGCCCGCCAGCCAACATTGTCTGGCCGACGGGACCTGAAGGAGGCCCAATCTATGGGACCTCACCGGTCTCTGGGAGCTATGCGGCAGAATGCGGTCCTGTAAGTAACCTGGCCCTGTGCCATGAAGGGCTTTAAAGGTGATAACCAACACCTTGAATTGCGTCCGGAGACCCACAGGAAGCCAGTGCAGCTCGCGGAGGATAGGTGACACGTGGGCGTACCTTGGCGCGCCCACAATCGCTCTCGCGGCTGCGTTCTGAACCAACTGCAGCCTCCGAACGCTTTTCAAGGGTAGCCCCATGTAGAGCGCATTACAGTAATCCAGTCTTGAGGTGACAAGGGCATGAGTGACTGTGAGTAAAGCCTCCCGGTCCAAATAAGGCCGCAACTGGTGCACTAGGCGAACCTGTGCAAAGGTCCCCCTGGCCACAGACGATAGATGTTGTTCCAGATTTAGCTGTGAGTCTAGGAGGACACCCAAGTTGCGTGCCTGCCAACTTTTGTTTCTACTTGGAAACTGCTTCTGGACTTTGTGCTTGAGGTGGAAAAAAATGAATTATGATTTTAGGTTTTACCAATTAGACTGATTTGCTGATACAGAAATGGCTAGTGCATACTACTATAGAAATGTAAAAAGTTGAGATTTGATTTTAATGTCTGATTTTACTGCAAAAGTTGGAAGTCAATACCTTTTGTTTCTTCCCCTCCCTTTCTTCACACCTTTTTTGTTTTCCATTTTTCTACTGTTGTCCCTTAACTATTTGCTTTTGTATTTTCACATTTTATGTTATAAATGAATAAAACTAATTTAAAAAAGAATGAAAAATAAGGTTTATAGTACTGTATCTTTATTCTGTTAGCAATAATGTCCATACATTAAAGAGCCATGCATCCACCATCCATTCCTAGTACTCTACATTCACAATCAAGCTAAATAGCAAATTTATATATACACTCTTATTTTAGTACAGTGATTCTCAACCTGTGGGTCAGGACCCCATTTGGGGTCAAACGACCATTTCACGGGGGTCGCCAAACAATTCAGTCCGCCATTTTTTCCCCCTTTTCCTTAACTGTGCTACTTCCTTTTATTCTATTGGCTTTTGAAAGCCAATAGAATAGACTCTCTTGAATAGAGTCTAATTCTATTGGCTTACAAAAGCCAATAGGAATTGTCCAGGCTGTCTCTGCCCTGCTGAGCCCGCAAAAGTCCCATTCTGCAAACAGTGCTACACCAGTTTAGTAGTCCTCGACTTACGACTGGTTGAGTAGTCCTTGACTTATGACCGGTTGGGGGTCGCGGCATTAAAAAGGTTGAGAACCACTGATATAACTGGACAGGAAAAAAATACTGTAAAACAGAATATTTTGTTAAGGATTAAAGAATGACTCAAATCTGGCAGGCATGTAGTCCCAAACAACAAATCAGGATGACATTCTCAATTCACAGATGATCATCTTTCTAGTAAGTATAGATAAATGAAGGAAAACTGAGTATTACTGCCAATCAGGAAGCCAAAGTAGATTAATTGCCTTAAGACCCAGAAATATTGGCTTCATGCCTTCTGCTTACTTCATCATAGCTTCCTTTAATCATATTATCCAATCTAAACTGCAACACAAAGACAATGTTGTAGTAGAAAATACTGTCAAGAAACTAAGAGAATATCATGACGACACAACTTCTTTCAGGTAGAAAGACTGGGGTTTCAGAAAGCAACTTAAGCAAAAATTAAAGCCGGGGGGGGGGGGAGTTAAATTTAATCATTTACCACTGTGACAACTCTGGAAGGGTTCTGGTGGCTGCACCCAAGACTTCCAAAGGCAATTATGAGACCCTGGTTCGCAGACTGTCTGTCTCAGCTCTACTTTCTTACCTAGCCCTGACAGTCTCAGAGAGCACAGGGTTCACCATAATTGTATATTTATTTACTATGTTATCAAAAGACAAATTGACTTATTCTTATCCAAACAAAGGCTATCTTATACAAATAAAGATTAGAACTATAACATACATATAAGGCAATCATTTCATTAATACAAAACTACATTTGAACAGACTGAAGTTTCCCATCACCTATTTTGAACTTTTTAAAAATTGTGGTCATTAGATCTGCATAACCTATAACTTTTCAGTGTATTGAACATGCTTACAAAGTACCATGTATAATTCAATTTATGGACTTAATTTTAAATACTATAGTTAATAAATTAAGCACAAGTGCTTGTTTTAGACAAAAAAAAAAAAGATGAGTCTTCAGGCCAAGCTTGATTTCTGGTGATTGTGGAGGTGCCCATGTAGTCTCCTTAGAAAACATTACAAAATAGTTTGCCTTCTTTGGGCTGGATTTCAACTTCCCAGTCTAACTACAGTCTGGCAAACCTTGGAAGCCTCTCACTCTAGAATTAATTAGGCCCAATTAATACCTCGTATTTATGATATTTATTAGTGCCAGTTATTAAAATTGTTAAAATATTTGGGTTGATCATGTGCAAGCATGTTCATATTTAATGGAATACAGGTAGTCCTTGACTTACAACCACAACTGAGTCCAGAATTTCTGTCATTATGCGAGACATGTATTAAGTGAATTTTGCCTCATTTTATGACCTTTCTTGCCACCGTTAAATGAATTACTGCAGTTGTTAAGTTAGTAACAAGGTTACTGAGTGAATCTGGCTTCCCCACTGCTTTCAAAAGGTCGCAAAAGGTGGGCACATGACTGCAGGACACTCCACCATCATAAATAGGAGTCGGTTGCCAAGCATCTGAATTTTGATCAGGTGACCCTGGGGATGCTGATGGTCATAAACGTGAAAAACAGTCATAAGTCACTTTTTTCAGGACCATTATAATTTTGAATTATCGATAAACAAACTGTTGTAATGCTGCTCTTATAAAGAAAAAATAGGAACCCCGTTAGAAAAAAGAACGAAAGTAAATTTGATACTTTGTAAATCAATTAGTAGCAGAAAAAAATCTCTGTAAGGACCGAAAGCTAGAATGAATAACACAGATTTTAAAAGTTTCACCAACAGCAATATAATGAGGGATTCATGATCTATAAACTTGCTCTAGGAAGGAGCAAATTCTCATATAGCTTGCACCCATGTTTTTGCCTGACTTTCAAATTCATTGCATTCATTCAATCAAGCAGAAATATAGGAATGATTACTCACGGACTAGCTGTGTAGTTGTCGTTGCGAATCTGATGTGCAGGAGCATCAGAAACTGAGTATCCCATAGAACTGGCAATTCGATCTGGATAGTCAGCCCCTGGGGTAGCTGCCTCTGGCCCTGCACTTACATTCTTAATCTGGAAGAACATACACAAGATAAATGTTTAACATTGAAAAGGATACAATTAATCTAGTACTTCAGGTTCTAATTGGTTAGACTTTGTATGTTTAAATATTACATAACACTGTCAGGAAACAAGAGAGATGGTATTAGCTTCTGCAATAGAAGCACATCACTAACAAAGATAAGAGGTCCAGTGATAGGCCACTGCGCTCCAAATATAATTATGGAGTGATTCCATTGCCAACATTTTTCACTAAGTTTTCTTCAGTACAACCAGAATAAACAGGAATCACTTCAATTTAGCAAAAGAAATAAATGCAAGATTGTTTGTTTGTTTGTTTGTTTGTTTAATATAGTCACCCATTTTCAGTTTTATGTGACTCTAGATGGGACTGGCCACCAATGGATTTTCAACATTCATGGAGAATAAGATTAACAATGGCATCAGTCATAATGTAATATACCTACTATCTCTAGGATCAGAAATAGCACAGGAGAACACTGGACTGCCATCTCTATAACCTCCTTGTCTACTTCTACTTTCCAACTGAGGAGATGATGTGACAAATTGAACTGGATGGGTTTTCCCCTTCATTCATAACGGCCATTTCTTCTAGGCCAGTGGTCCCCAAACTTTCCAACCTGGCACTCCGGTGAGGAAGGGTGATAGTTCGGTGTGAGTGGTGGGCACATGCGAGTAGAAGTACCCACTGCTCGCGCAAGTGGAGCTGCAAGCAGGCATGCCACTTGCACAGCCCAGTTCTGAACAGGCCACAGCCCAGTGGTGGTTTGCAGCCCAGGGGTTGGGGACCCTTTTCTACAAGAAACAACACTTACTGATGTCATCTTAGGAATTTTCATATGTGCTTCAGTTAAAAAAAAAACACAGTAGTAATTTCTGTCGTTAAGTTGTTAGACTCTAACAATTTATTTGGCAATCATTAAGTGACTCCAGCTTCCCTCCAAAGAGCATTTTTTGCCAGAAAATGGCCCAAAAGGTCATAAATCATGATCATTTAACTACACTGAACCTGTCGTACATACATTGATTATCAAGTGCCCAAATTGTGATCATGGAACTACGAGGGTGATGCAATAGTTGTAAGTGCAAATTTTTTAAAAAGCCATTGTGAATTATTTTTTCCGAGGCTGCTGTAACATTAAACTGGTGTTAAACAAATTATTGTAAGCCAAGGACTATCTGTAATCCTGGAAAATGCCAAGGGCTGTATGCTACATTAAAAGACCAGCCAGCCTTATTTTATAGAAGTGTTTGTGTGATTCGTTTCTGGTTCAAAACTTTGTATGAACCCAGAGATTGGGTAACTAATGCACTGTTTAAATTAATCATGTGGAAGTACCTCATACTGATACACAATAGCTCCTATGATTGTGCAAAGGTAGAAAATCTGCTCTCCGGACATTCATGAATCATAGTGCCGAGCCACCCTAAACAGCATGACCAATTGTGTGAGTTTTACTTCAGCAATATTTGAGTGTGTCACTGAATCCCAATCTTTCAGTAATAACCCTTGTATGCAGCTGCTCACACTAAGAACAGAGGTTTTACTAGAAGTTTTTCTTCCTATTAGATAAAAAGGAGCAAAAGCAGACATTTAGTCTCATTCTTTACCACATTGCAGCATGTGAAGCAGCAACATCTCAATTAAACCAGTGTAAACAATTACCCTGCCAGGGTAAGAAAGCAGCAATCCAACAAAAGCCCAGTCCTCCAGGATACATATGCTAATTAAAAGCTTAACATATATGTCAATCAGCCAACTGAAGAGAAAAAAAGGTATTTGTTGAGTCCTCGGTTAATGGCAATGACGGCGTGAGACATTCTTGTTGTTTCATGAATGCTTTATTGGTCTTCAGTAGCCCCGTTACAACTCAAAGCAGCACAGATCTCTCAGCCTCTCTTAAAGACATTCCCTGGGCCAAAAAGATACATTTTTGGCGCGCTGAGGGCCTCGCGCATGCGCGCGAGTGCTGGCGCCGACCAGTCTGGTCCCGGGCAGCTTGCAGCTGCCCAGGACCTTTGCAACATCCGGAGCCTGCCTTCGCAGGCTCAGGACACAACAGTATTGACAACAGCCCTGTTTTTCAACAAAAAGAGAACCAGCAGGAAATGCACCCTGTTGAAATGCATTCAACAGAGAAGACCCAATTCTGCACCTGTTTTAACTCACTGTTCAAAATAGAATTTAAGGACTTTTCCTTTTCACTTAAGGGTCCACCTATAGATACAACTCCAGTATTTATGGGAATTGGACAGACAGATAAATGAGTCATACTCCAAAAGAATTTCCAGGCAAATGTGAAAGACACACATTTATATATTCAGGAATATTCAGCCTAAACTATTAGCTTAGTAACAAAAATTATTAACAATGCTACAGAAATAGATATGGTCAGGTAACTAATGTGATATAATTTCATGCTAAGAAGACCATGTGGCTGAAGCAATATCTGCTAAAGACAGCGATCCATATATTAGAATAGCACTTAGATTTATATACCGCTTCACAGTGCTTTACAGCACAGTGCTTTACCAACCCCCGGCCTGTGGACAAACAAGCAAAGCCCCATCTGTGGGATGCAGGCAGCACACAAAACCATGCACCCTCCGGTCCACGGAAAAATATCTCTCCACGGAACCAGTCCCTGGTGCCCAAAAGGTTGAGGACCTCTGCTTTATAGCCCTCTCTAAATGGTTTGCAGAGTCAGCATATTGCCCCCAACAATCTGGGTCCTCATTTTACTGACCTCGAAAGGAGTCAATCTTAAGTCTGTGAACACTGAACTGCCGAACTGCTGGCAGCCAGCAGAAATAGCTTGCAGTACTGCATTCTAACCATTATGTCACCACGTCTTGCTTATTCCTTCAAGGTACAGTGGTGCTTAAAAGTTTGTGAATCTTTTTTGAATGTTCAATATTCCTGCATAAATATGGCCTGAAACATGATCTATTCTCCACACTCATCTTAAAACTAGATAAAGAGAACCCAATTAAACAAATGAGTCAAAAACATTATACCGGCAAATTCTATTAAAAAAAAGTGAGGGTATCTATCCATGAACTGAAGCTCAAGAGAAAGTGTGTCATGCAACAAGACAACAAGCCAAAATACACAAGTTGTATGGCCAAAGAATGGTTCAGGCAAAAGAAAGTTAATGTTTTGGAATGGCCAATACAATGTCCTGACCTTAAACCAGTGCTTCTCAAATAGTGGGGCGCACCCCCCAGGGGGGGCGCGAGGCTCCGTAAAGGGGGGCTCGTTTGACCTCGGCAAATACTGTCATATTGGATTTCTAGATCGGATCATCCGACTCACTCGCAAGCAACAGCCCGACGCGGAGGACAACATGACCGCCAACGCACGTGACACATGCAAAGGACCTGATTGGATAGACATGATGCTCTATCCTGATTGGCCAAACCCGCCCGTGTGACTTTTAGACCCGGAAATCGGTCCTCTGTACAGAAAAAAAATTTTTACAGTCGCGCAGGGGGCGCGAAATGTTTTCTTCTTCCTAGGGGGGCATGACAGAAAATAATTGAGAAGCACTGCCTTAAACCAATAGAAATATTGTAGAAGGACCTGAGGCAGGCAGGCAGTTCCTGAGGAAACCTATCAACAACCTTGAGTTGAAGCTGTTCTGTAAAGGCTAAAGTTCCTCCAAGCTGATTTGCAAGGCTGATCAAGTTATCAGAAACATTTAGTTGCCGTTATTGCTGCCCCCCGGGGGGGAGGGGTGGTTGGGCAAACCAATACTGAAAGCAAAATTCATCTATTGTTGCCACACACAATCACAGTATGTGGCTTTGGATCATTTTCCTCTAAAATCAATGAATAAGTATAATGATTTTGACCATTTGCTTACTTGGGATCTCTTTTATCTAGTTTTAGGACTTGTGTGAAGGATAGATCACATCTTAGATCATCTTTTTGCAAAAATATTAAAATTTCAAAAGAGTTCACAAACTTTTAAGCACCATTGTATACTGAGGTACATTTGTATTTTTAACTGCTGTAAGGCTGTTATGAGCTTCATACTGGAAATGATTCTTTCCTTGGAAAAATGGTAGCAAGCTGAAGGTATCTTCGATCTTCAGAATAACTTTGTATCTTAAAAATAAATCTGAATTTCATTATAGTGTAATCAGAAATAACCCCTGGACTATAATTTAATTTTTGATATATACCACTCCACAAATTTGTTTTTCTATTGTATAGAATTTAATGTATAGAAAAGAGATATAATGTGTAGTTCACCTTTATGTGAAATTAGATGCTAGCATTCATTGAATTCATTATTAAGAATGATTTACACTCTTTTGACTATGGTTCTTAATAAGTAAGCTTGAAGCTTAATAGTGATTTTTAGGGCTTTTAAAATTGAAATATTCCTTTATTTCTCTAGCTTATATTTTTTATTTAAATGTTTAATTACAAAAAGGCGTCAGTCCTGAAGGCTTGATGCTTTTTGTCTTAATATAAAACAAGCTGTCACAAAACTTTAAAGGCAAAATATTCTCTCCATGAAAAGAGAGCTATAGTTCATATATCATGTAAACCATTGTTTAATATCTGTTGAATAAATCACAATTGCCAAAGTTCAAAAAACAGGCTCTAAATACATGATTAATACACTACATAAATCATATTATGGCTTAAGTTTTTTTGTGTATCCGTTTATTGATACAGGTAGTCCTCAATTCGCAACCATTCATTAAGTCAGTGTTTCCCAAACTTGACAATTTTAAGGCATGTGGACTTCAACTCCCAGAATTCCACAGCCAGCAACGCTGGCTGTGGAATTCTGAGAGTTGAAGTCCTCATGCCTTAAAATTGTCAAGTTTGGGAAACACTGACTTAAGTGACTATTTGGAGTTATAATGGTACTGAAAAAGGTGACTTATGACTGCAGTATCCCCATAGTCACATGATCAAAATCCAGATGCTTGGAAACTGGCATGTATTGCTGTGTCCCTGGGTCATGTGATCA